CTATATAAGTTTTACAGTCATGTTAACCACAAAATGTTGTCTACTTTTCTGCATCGTATACTGGAAGTATTAAAAAACTTAGTATTTTTACCGTTCTTACCACATTTGAACTGGAAAGGTAACTAATAATACAGTTAGAAAGCTAAATAAGAATACTAAAATGATTATCTAGGAAGACAATTACTATTTTTATCTTATATACATAGAACAAATTAGTAAAGCGAAACTTTTAAATTAACTTTAAACTTAAACAGTAAACAGTAAAAAACTGAAATATGAGTTAATAATGCGCATAGGGTTAAGTTAACTTGGGCATAGAGGATATTCAAAAAGCGCGCCACATGCCCGTTGAGTTAGGTGGCAGCTCTGGCAAAGTTTACGAGAGAACGCTCTCCGGCTTTTCTCTCTTTCTCGCTCCTGCAAACATTCGTGCGTTTAAACGCCTGCGTGTGTATGTGTGTGTGTGTGTTTTGTATCTTTTACTTTTCAGCAGCGTGAAACTCAGTCAGTTTCAGTTCAGTTTTTCAGTTAAGGCAGCAACAACGCAAAAGTTCGAAGAGCCTCCAAATAAAAAAAAAAAGAAGAAAAGAGCGCTCATCTCACACACAAAAAAAAGCACAAAAACCCCGAAAAACCGAAACGAACGAAAATTACGCGCTCATCAATCGTTGCTGCTGCTACTTCTTCTTCCCGCTCTTCGTGTGTTTTTTTTTTTATTCGCAAAAGGATCAAAAGAGTGTCCAAAACGCGCGAAGAATTTCCAAAAGAAGTGCGTTCCAAAAAAATATAAAAGAAAAGTATTAAGTTTGAAACCAAGAAAAGTGCAAAATAGCCTTTTAAAAAAAAGAGAGGGAAAAACTACAGTTAACTGCGTGAGAGAGAGGGCGAGCCAAGAGAGTCGAAAAAGCAAGTGCAAGTGGTTGAAAGGCACCAACAAAAACAACAAAAGCACTCGAATTAAATAGCAAAATTGCAAAAACAATGTGAAAGTAATTCCTGCTATTTGGTTCACACACACTTAAGTAGTTAAACATTAGTAGTACACTTGTAATTGTTGTTGCTGTTGTTGTTGTTGTTGCGCGCAGTGAGTTCATCGCAAAAAATAATACACACACATACGAATGTAGCGTGTGAGTGTGCTAGTCCAAGAGAGAGATGGTGAGAGAGGGGGCGTGAGAGAACGACAACGCCTCCTCTCCCTTGCCCTCCTGCACTGAAAAAAGAAACATAGGCTAGATATTAAATGAAATAAATATTCATTTTCATTATAAAAATTCGAAATACAAAGATTTGGTTTTATAATTCAATAGTTGAACCCATAAAGAAGTCTTTTCTTTCCCGCAAGAATCAGATTTCAGGGAAACAAATTAAAATTTTTCGAATTAAAATGCAATTACAATTATCACATATTTCTCTCTGTGTGTATAGACCCGCTTAACGCAATTAAAATAACTGTGCACTGGTGTGTGTGCGTGTTAAAATAGCACCTTGTTTGTACATAAATTAGCCTTAGTCGCTGTTATTTATACTATATATATATGTATATAAATCGTATGCATTATACAATATATGCACACATCGGTTGCGCCAGTGTATATATTTTGAAATAATAAAAACAAATCAAAATCAACGCCGCACTGCAGTTGCCCTCTCTTTCCGCCTGCTTTTGCCTGCCCCCTTCTCACTCATCATCTTTCTCTCTGTTTTCGCTTTTCAAGTGCAAAAATGAATTTTCCGCTATTTTCTATCTCATGTGTATTTGTGTGCTTAAGTTTTTCTTGTTGCTGTTTATTTTTTGTGTTTGCGGGCGGGGTCGCATAATTTGTTAAATTAATTTTCACTCTCCCTCTCGCACTTTACCACCCCCCCTACTCATATTTATTATTCTTCTTCTTTAATCGTGACGTAGTCCCTCGCGTGTGTGCCCCAAAATACAAGAGCAAGAAAAACAACCAAAACTAATTGAAAAGCCGCTGCGCTGCCGCCGTCGCAGCCGCCAAACAGTGTTGCCATCCTTTCACTGCAAAAACAAATAAAAGCTACAATGTTGCCTTGTAAACTATGCTAAAAAACATAACCAAAAGTCAGGAAAACATAAACATATGTTTCAAGTGCTTATATTTGTGTTTTTTGACCTGACCTTCCTTTTGAAAAGTTCCATATGTTTCCAAGAAACACGCTAAGATCTGATAAGAAGTTTTCAAAAACAACATAGAGTAGCCTTGTACGCAGCTACTTACCACAAAATATTTAGAATTTTAACCAAAATTTGTTTAATTCCAAATTAAAACTTTAGAAACTTGAAACTTGTCTAAACAAAAACTATCTTAAGCTCCAAAATATGCTTACTTTAGGCTTATCTTTAATTAGTTATTTATAAAAAAAAAAGTTTGTTAGACATTTTCATTTATGGGTTTTGCTTCTTATCACAAACAAAAGTCGATGGCGAAAAGATTAGGCTAGGGAAAATGAATTTGTAGAATGCATTATAATGTCAGCATAGTTAAATGCCTGATAAAAGTCACCTGCTAATTTTAGTTTTCAGTGTAGGTTTTAAGTAGCCAAACTGACAGCACCATTTAGATCGTTGGTGGCAAGCATAATTAATGCGATCATCTTCCAGTTCGCTTTTCCCCAGCTGATGCTGCTGCTTCTGTTTCCCATTTACAGTTCATGTTCCTCCCATATTTCCCTTCTCCACTTCTCTTCCCTATTTCCATTATCCATTATCCACTCCACCTCCTACTTCATAGTAATAGCAACAAGTTTTTTCTTCCACATATTTTTCAGTTCTTTAATTTGTTGCCGCACTTGAAGTTGCGTTTATGAGTTAGTGGTAAAAATCTTTAAACTTTTTCTTACTTCTACTTAACAAGCTTTTTTTTTTTTTTTTGCTGTAGCAACGGAGGGGGAAAAAACGTTTAATAACGCTCTGAGAAACAAGCTGGAGATGTGTTTTTATTTGCCTAAAACTTGTTTTCTCCGAGCTTGTAACACTCGTGTTTTGTTAGATGGTCTTGTTCTTGTTCCAGTTGCCACAGGCAGCTCTGGATATGATGTACTTTTTAGAAGCAAAAGGGCGTTTGCTTTTTGGGAATCAATGGATGTGGCTATGGCAGAGAGAACTTTACAGATTTAGAGAGCTTTGTTTTAAGAACTTTTCCTGTTCTTAGAAATGTTCTTAAAGATACTATTTGGTGTGATTTGTAAACTAAGTTATATATATAAAAGTAACTTTAACTACGATCAGAAAACAACTATCTTACTATCATCAGTTTAACTAACCCTCCAAGACCAACTATCTTACTATCATCAGTTTAACTAACCCTCCAAGACCTTAAAAAGTATCTCAAAAGTTAGTTTCCTCTCCGCAGTTTCTACTGTATCAATTTTTTCCATATCAATTTCGGCACATGACGTAATCTTCACATGTTCAACAGCAACACCAACAAATACAAATACAAATACAAAAAAAAAAAAACTAATAACAACAACAAGCACATTGAGTTATGAAGTGTATTTGAAATGTAAACAGATAAAAAAAAAGTTGTGTGGCGGAGGAGGAGGGAGGGTGGTCTTTTATACAGTGAACGGGTTGTCTGATTCGATTGTAGGCTGTTTATTTTTTTGCTACTTCTTCTCTGTGTATTTTCTATTCGACAGGTTTCTTTAATGGTTTTCCCACTACTTGTGAAGTTCAAAGTTCTGGGACCATAAAAAAAAAAAAGCTGGCTGGGTAGGAAGTGAATGTCCCATGGGATTGTGATTGAGATTGAGATCTTGCAAGTTAAAACCTTCCATTCCCATTTGAAAATTCCATACCCGCCAGTTTCCATTCTTTGATATCAGAGTACAGTGCGTTTCGGCTCAGTAAATCTCAGGCTTTTCGCACAAACCAACCAGCCATAAATGAAGTCATCCATATAAACCAGTTATTCGATGTAGATAAAAACAAAGTTAACGCATCTAACAATTTGTGCTATAAAAAAGTACATTTGTTGCTGAACTGATTTATCAGTTTGGATGTTATAAATCTTACAGGTTTATGTATGATTCTAGTAAGTCAATTAACTAGTGGCGAAAATTCTATAAAATGTTAACTTATTTCTGGGTTTTAAAGCTGCTTTTTGATACTTAATCATTTATAGTCCAATAAATACAACTTTATTTCGGATTAAAATAAGTTTTTCGAAAAGTTTTATAACCGAAACATGGTCTTTGAATATCGCATTGTATTTCTGGATTCTGTGTGCTCCAAATATGTTTTCCAAAATGCCTTTCAAAAAGGAGGGAAAACTGTATCCTAAAATAACGCCAATGCTGCCCCCAAAACATAAACCCGAAAAACTGGAGCAGCACTTCGTTTGGGTATCGATTTAATTTGTTTGATCCAGTGACCTGTGAAACTTGTGTAAGTGTCAGAAGTCGGGAGTAGTCAGAAGTCAGTGTTCAGAATTCATTTTTGTTGCTAACAATATGGAAGAGTTCGACGTCGACGGAGCTTGTGTATATTCGTCGGAACAGGCCGGAGCTTATATAGATGACATCGACGAAGCGGTTCAGAATTTTTTTCGAGAACACGGCGATGCTTTAGAGGAGGCATGGTTTCGAGGTGCCATTTCGGATGATGATAAGCAGAGGATTGAAGAGTAAAGTAGAATTTGTTTTGAGGTTTTTTTTTTTGAGGATTTTTCTAGCCTGGTCAATAGTGTTGTAGTGGTTTGTGTCTGGCCAAAAATTGAAATCAATTGAATCAGATATTTAGACTGAAAGCCAATTGGCAAATGACTTAATTTAATTGACATTGAGGTGGCTCCTCGGTAGATGACGCACTTGCTCAGCTATTTTAAGGTCACATGCGCCGATGCGTGATTTTAGTGCCGGTCGCGTTCTCGTGTTCCCACCACCACCCCCTCGATATAAAATACAACTGCACACTGCATATATATATAAGAAATATATATAAGAAATTCTCTAATTCGATTTGTGCTCATTTCCAGATCGGAACGTTCGATAGTGCGCGTTTCCATTTACCAAAGCAGCCAGCCGCAGCAGATCTGTCCACCGGCGGATTACCTGCTGGTCGCCCTAGACGGAGGCTATAACTACAACAGCAACCTACTTGACTGCATGACGATGGCCACGACGGCGACGGGGATCCAACAGCAGCAGCAGGTGCTCGGCCTGGGTGCGGCCTACGATCGACAGCAAAGGTATATTATATCTATATCTATATCTGTATATATGTATATCATCTATTAACCGATCTAACTTTCAGCACTGATTCGGGTTGGGACAACCCTTTTCGTCCAGGCGGCGATCTGTCCAGAGAGGCTGATGAAATTGTCAACATGATCAGAGGTGAGTTATCTGAGTTATCTGAGATGATCTATACAGCTCATGCAAGGGATGATCGTTAAGTATTATGTGTTATAATCTATACTAACCCCTGATATCCAAAACGATTGTAATTAAATACCCTTTCTTCCAGGCGGCAAGCCCATCACACCCACAGAGGAGCGGACAATTGGCAATGGGAGCGCCCAGCATGGGGATGACAATTGCAACGGTGGAGCGGCGATTGGCGAGAGTGTAACCAAATCAAACGTGAGTTTCGATCATAATCTAAAACGACTTAACTAACTATAATATATATATATATCCCAATTACTATATAGCTCTCGCAGAATCTAGCAACAGCACAAAATGGTACAAATTCCCATGCCTCTGCCTCTGCCGACGCTGGCGCCGGAAAAGCAGCGACGGCGAGCGATCTAAGCGGCGGAAACGGAAATAACGGGGTCACTTCGCTGGGACAGGTGTCCAAACAGGTGGTTCCGGGACCGACGTCCGCTAGTCATGTGGTCATCGACGAGAAGAAGAACAAGAAGAAGGGCTGCTGCGTCCTGCAATAATCGGGGAGAAAAACAAAAAACAAACGACGGGGGACAACAAAAACAAAACAAAAACAAAAATCAACAAAAAAAAAAAGTAGAAGAGAAATGAAATGTAGAAGAAGAAGAAGAAGGGGACGGGCATTTTCCGGCTAGCCGTGTTTTTTGATGTTAATGTTTTATGGGGAAGAAAATAAGAAGATGACGAAGAAGAAGCCGAGCTGTTGATATTTTTCATGCCGCATAAATCGCTTTGCTTAGCTTTGCAAGACGAAACCGAGACGACAAAAACAAAAACAACAACAGGAACAACAACAACAACAACAGACCAGAGGAAAACACACACACACACACTCACACACACAAGGATAAACTAGAAAGAAAGAAAAAACCTTAAAAGAAAAACCTTAAAAGAAAAACCAAGCTCTCTTGACCAACAGCAGCAGATTATCAAGAAAAAAAAGAAACTGAAAATAGCACCCGTAGCAGCAGCAGCAGCAGCTACAGTGAGAGCCAAATTTCTAGCAACACCCAAGCAGCTGTTGCTCTAAAGCTTCGAAAACAAAAAACAAAATCAAGTCGAGAAAATCCCGAAATTTGAATTGTAAATCTAAAGTACACCTTTATATATATATACATTTATATATATATGTTTGTTAGTCTGGCCTAAATCACCATTATTATGTATACATACTATATCTTTTTTTTGCCCTTTTTTTCCCCCTGTAATGTGGACTCTCGACCTGCATATGTGTATTATAAAAAGAAAAAAGTAAAACTTATATGCATATTATGTGAATTTAATTATTTTTTTTTTTTTCGTAATTGTAAAATTTAGTACGCGGCTTTTTTAAAGAAAAAAATGAAAAGGATGTAGGGACGTTTAAAAAGTTAAAAGAAAAGAAAAAAAATAACAAAAAAAAAATAAAATAAAAACGAGAAAACGTTTTGCTTGCATGCATAATGGATATAAAAAGAAGAAGAAAATCGAAAAAAAAAAAACAAATTTAACATAAAGAATAATGTATTTATTTTTATTTATATGACGATGAAGCAGATGAAAGTAAATTAAATGTTAAACCTTAAAACAAATATACACACACACACACGTACATATACAAGAAACACCCAAAAACACCCAACACACACACATACGCATATATACTATACGATATATGAGATGAAATGTATGACGCAATAAAAAAAAAAACAAAACAAAACGAGAATGAACCAGAAACCAGAAGTAGACAAAACTAATTATATAAAAATCCCAATTTTCTAAGGCTAACTAATAATGGATAATGGATAATGGATAATTATTTTTTATCATTATATACATGAGACGAGAGAAATTAACAATCGGGTGCGCTGACTTTTGGGGCCCACTGTAGCGGCTGATCAAAGGCAAGGCGGTGGGGTTAACAAGTGAAAGAAAGGCTTAGTTCTTTGAGTAGAATATTTGTAGAACGAAGAATGGAAGCTTTGAAGAAACCGAAATCCCCAAGACAAAAGCTTAGAAATGAGGCCAGAGAAAGTATATAAACAACAACAAAAACAACATAACAAAAACAAAAAGGAAGAACCACCGTTTTTCAGCTTAGTTAAGCACAATACAACCCCCCACAAATCACCAACACCACCACCAACCAACCAACCAACCAACCAACCAACCCCTTTCACTCAGTATTTTTTCTCAGTTTTTTTTTCAGAACTCACACAAATCAAAAGCAGAGAAACATAAAAAATAAAAAAAAATATATATGCAAAAAATACATAAGCAGGTAAATCGAGCAAAGCGAGGTACAAGAAAGTTTACACAGAGAGAAAAGAAAGCAGCAACCAAATAGCAAAAAGAAAGTAATGAGAACACCGAAATGGACCGCCACACACTCACAGACACCCAAAACACTCACACACACAAACACACACCTACAGCCTAAGCATCAATGTGCTGCATTTGATAAACGTAATGAAGAAAAAATAAATTAAATATATATACATATATATATATATACACACAGATATATGAAATAGCAATATTGTTTCAACTGAAAATAAGCAAATCAGCAAGAAGTGGAAAAAGGGAAATTCCAGAATCCGAAAAAGAATAAACAAATCCGTAAACTAAATCAAGGAGAAGAGAATGAAACAGCAGCCAGTACAGCAATAAAATCAATATTTAATATTGTAAATTTCCGATTCAAAAAAAAAAAAAAAACAAAGCTAAACCTATAAAAAAAAAAACAACAAAATGTTAAGTTATTGTATAAAAAAAAATCCTAAATAAAAAACGAAAGCTAAAAATGATAAAAACTTAAATGTTATTTTCAAAATATTGCCTAACTTTTCGGGCTGCCCAAAGCAGTGCTCGCTTTTAGGCTTCTAATGGAAATACATACATATTTCTACAAAATTGATTTACTATGCGTGGGTTATAATCATAGCGAAAAGAGATAGCTATAGCTATTGATTGATGAATGCTTTTAGTTCATTCGATCGACGGATAATTGATTGCAATTGTTTATGGCAAACAAATCGCTTAATGCTTCCGCCTTGGCCAAATTTTTAGTATTCATCGTGATTCGATGAGGAACGCTCAGCAGAACCTTTCACCTCACATCTCGCCTCCAATCGGATTCAATTAGCCAAAACAAATCTGTTGATATCGAATTTGTTGCTTAGTTAATTATTCCCATGACGCAACTTCATAATAAAATAATCAACAAGTGTGGGATTTAAGCTGATTGAGATTTTTTGATACTCTTTGTTCTTAAGAAGGATATTTTTTGTATTTCTATTATATTTTATTACATTTCTTGATATTTCAGCAGGCAGTCTTCATGTTTTATTACTTAAATGGAAAACTCAACCATTTAAGGATATAAAAGACTGCTATATTAACAATTTTCCAAGCCTCAAGTGGAAATAAAAACTAACAAAATACAAAAATTCAAAAGAAAATAATATTATTTTGGATTTTTGTACATTAACAGCTGTGCAGTAAAAGGGATTTTTATGGCCTTCATTTATAAATAACAAGGGTCACAAATTACAGTTTTTTAAGATCCTAATTTAAGGAGATTAACTGGAATTTTAATCATTTTATATTCCGAAGAACTTAGATAACTTAATTTAGTAAGTTTCCTTATGAAAACCTTAAAAAATCCTTTAAAAATCACAGCCCTAACTTACTGTTTTTTAAATTCCCAACTTAAACTAACTCACAGCTCTAAAGCAAGTAGGAAATAACACAATTTTTTAAAATCAATTTTAATAACATATTTTTTTAATATTCCGAGTAGGGTCAACGATTTCCCGAAGCTAACTAGCAAGTTCTGAGTTCACCCACGTCACGCAGTTTCTTGAAGATGAAAAACCAGAATTTGATTTTATTCTTTCTATAATTTTGGATTTCTTTTGTTTTTGTTTTATAGATTTTGGAGTTGATTTAATTTATGAACTCTACTCGGAAAGACATTTATAGCAATTTATCTGGATTTGGTTTATGGCTTTCGGCCATTCCGATTCACATTCGCATTCGGATTCCAATGAAAGATTAATTGGCAGCCGCGAAGCTGTCAATTTTTAAATTGTTGCGCCTAAGTAAGCGGAAATGTCTTTGCCACTCGATCACGATTTCATCGAATTGAATACTACAAGACCTGCCTTTCAGATTCGATTTGAAATTGGAATTAGAATTGGATTTGGATTTTGGGTATCGATGATGCGACTAAAAGTGATGGTGATGATGGTGATGCTATCCAAGGCACCCACTCAGAAATGGAGAAGGGGAACTGGATTTTGGCCATCTATCTAATGAAAGTCAGTCATCGTTAATGGTCAAACGTGTTTTCTTCGATATGGGCATATGGCCTGACACCAACAGTGGCGATGGTAAGTTAGGTTACCCTCTTGTTCTTTTTTAAGTTTTTGTATTAAGTTTATTTTGGGATTGTTTTTAAAATTTGTTTAGGAATTTAACAAATAGAAGTTCTTGTTTTAAAATTTGGTTATTTTGTATATTTTTTTATTATATTTTTCTTTCACACTGTATGGCAAGCTATATTTTTCATTTTATCTTACTTTTAACGACATTTTTATGGCCAAAACTAAGTTTATTTTAAGATTTCACCAAAGCTTTTATAGGCACTTTACCTAAAAACTGTAAAATATCTTTAAATGCTAGGATATTAAATTAATTTATAGTTACTTAAGTATCTTAAAAATGGTATATCCAAGCCATATCTTTTCATTTACACTTTTAAGCCTAATTAAAAATAATAAAATACATTTTTCTTAATATTTTGTCATACTTACAGGCCAAAAAGTCTAACATTTCGCTGATACTGTGAACTTAAATCTTCTTCTTTATAAAGAACAAAAAATCCCCCTTCACATTCACCGTTCCCCGTTTTTCGACCACCCAAAAACGCACCTAATTTGCGAGTGCGATTCTCGTGCAGGTGCAAATTATGATGGGAGGCAAAACAGCCAATAAAAGCAACAAAAAAAGTCATAATAATTTATGGCAAAAAAGTGGGGAATAAGCTAAATAATCAGAAGAAGAAGAACAAAGCTGGGGGGGGACAACAAAAAAAGGCAAAGTAGAAGCGCTGTTACTGTGGGCCATTAAGAAATTAAAAACGAAAAAAAGCGACATGTGTAAACGGCAGAGGGGCAAAAAGTCGCGACGCCGGAGATAAAGATAAAAATCGGTTAGTTAGGCAATGGCACATCGGTCGCCGATGTATATATGTATATATAAAACGACAACCGAAAAAAGAGCTGCGCATGCGCCGCACGCGTCGCCACACAAATACACATTGCTGTCTACGTATGCGTAATACGTATACGTAATATTGTTTGTTATATACGTATACGTGATATTGTTTACTATATACGAATACGTGATATTGTTTTCTATATACGTATACGTGATATTGTTTACTATATACGTATACGTAATATTGTTTACTATATACGTATACGTAATATTGGCGCATGTGTGTCTAACTGTACAAACGCGCACGCGCTGCGGCTCTCTTGTCGTCTTTCTCGCTTCCACTAAGTGGAGTTGGTCATCATTTAGCTGGTTATTAGCTAGTTTTGGATTTAAGATAGCTAGATCTTGTTTAAGGGGAAATAATAATTATTTTTAAGACAGAAATGTTGTTTTTAAAAGGATTTTTACTTATCTTTTTTAATAGGCAGGCAGTAACTAAAAGTAGATAATGAAAGATGATAAAAACTTCAAATTGAAAAGATAAAAATCATTTTTAAGTAAATCAGCTATATATATATAGCTTAATAATATTCTTGAAATAATATTTAATTTATGATCATATTTTAACCAATATTTCTTTTTTCATTCTATAGATGATCATCTTTACAGCTGATCTCCAGCAAGTTGTGGTTTTTTTTTTTCAACGACTTGACTGCCATCACTGACGTCTTTCGATTGACTGAGTGTCTGCGATTGTGTTCTCATGCGATGGAGTCGCGCTGTCTGCGCTGTAAGCATTTGGAAGTAGAGCAAGTGTCTTTGCCGCCGCGTCTCGATTTTCTCACTCTGCGGGTAGTGTCGGCCAAAGTGTCGACTGAGTAACGGGCATACATACATAGATACATAGATATCAATGGGATGGGCAGTATTTTAGACAGATCTTTAGATTATAGCTAGGGTGTCTTTATAGCCCTGCCTCCTTTCCTTTGTTCGACGGGATCAGCTTGATTTATGTGCGATTGGTGGCGAATGATTGATTCGTCTTTCAACTTAATTGAAAGCCTGGGCAAGTTGGTTGATCATTAAGCAATTTAAGAACTTGTTGATTTAGAGATTGAGGCAGTTAATGATGGATTGGAAAAATAAATAATATGGCCGAAACAGGATGGAGGAGACTTGAACTATAATATAAACTAAATAATCAAAGATTTATTTGGAAATATACAATCTTTTTGTCATACAAATAATTAGGTATAAAAACTACTTAAAGGACTTCAATGAAATAATATCCTAAAATAAAAGTTCATTCAAAAAATATATGGAAAATCCATTAGAAAAAAAGTGATTCCCCTTAGAATCTAGAACCTATTAGGCAGTAAATCTAATCAAATGAATCCTAAATGACCTTCTGACACCTTGACTGACACAGTTCCCAATCAATTATTGCCCTTGACGGGGCATTAGAGTGGACCAACTTAACCTAAAACTGTTTTCCAATTTAAAATTTTGTTATTTGTTTTTTTTTTTTTTAGTTTTTAGTTTCTATACGCTTTGTGCTATTTATAGACTTTGTGCGCACAAAATGCTAACAAGCCGATAGAAAAAAGTTGAAAAATTATCTTCAAAAACCAGCTCTCAAAGTGGTGGGGGGTGACCGGATCTCAAGCTTTACGGAAAACTCTGATAAATTATGAAATAAACAAGTCGTAAACTCGAACTACGGTTACGAACTATTAATTAGATGGGCCATCAAAAGTTCTTAAAAGGTTTCGCCCGATAGCCGGAGCGAGCTTGATATATGGCATATCGGTCAGTTCTGATTTATAATCCCTATAAAACTTTAATGGAATTAGTGAGCCCGAGTTAATTGAATGGCCCAAAGGCTTTACTTTTATAGCGATTTCTTTCAGACTCGCTGGCGTTTCTGGGTTTGGTCTTTGCTTTCAAAATTTTTGGTATTAAAGTTCCAGTCAGAAGTTTAGTTTCGGGTTCCAGGAAATCTGGACTTGTGGTTATGCACTTGTTGTCACGGCCGAAGAGCTCTGGCTATCTGGCTATCTGTTGATCTGGAATAATTTAGAAGGGTACAGTGTGGTTCGTGATTGGAAGGTGATTGGTCTTAATAATCTGTAACTAATAAACTTGATTAACTATCAAGTTTAAAGCTAACTTTCTTGGCAGAATATTTTCAAACTTAAAGTTTTGTTTTATTAATACTAACTTAGTTATAAAAAACTTACACTTAAACATTTTTTAACACACAAATAATATAATAAAAATAAAAAATAAGGATTACCTCATCCGCAAAATCAGCACCAGACAGCGATTTAAATATTAAAACCAAACCCTCAAAAAGCTTTCGAGTTTAATATCACATTAAATTTAATTCAAACAAAATGGCCTACTTAAGAGCATTGCTAAACTCGTTCTAGAACAGGTATTAGTTAAAATTAACGATTTAAATATCTAATAAAATATATAGAATTTGCAAATTAAAGAATATTAATATTTAGAACGGGTAACAGCTAAGTAAAACAAAATAAAAAATGTAAGTTATGGCAATGCGGCATATTTACTTTTATATAATTTTAACAACGAAACGCACTGTATTTAATGCCTGAATATATTTAAAGGAACTTAATACTCCCCTTAACAAACCAAAAAAAAAAAAAAAAAAGAATAACTGGTCTTAATTATACAAAAACTCAACAGAAACTACAAAAAGCCAAGAGACAGATAGATAACTTTACGTTTTGGGGTAAAAGCAAAACGTGTTTAGCTTTCTATTTAAACTATGCAAATTCGCATTGATTATTTATTTCTTGGCTATTTGCCAGAAATAACAAAAATAAACCCCCCCCTCCCTCCCTTCCTCTCTCTTTAAAAATCGCAGGTAAAACAAATAGAAAAAAAAACAAAAAACCAACACCGTAGAAAACAGCCATAAAAAGGAGCGTTCGATCGATCGATCGATCGATTGGCTCGGCTCGGCTCAGCTCAGCTCAGCTCAGGTGGAATATGCATAACCGGTCAAAGACCAGAGATGATGAGAACCTGCTCTCGACTTGGTTGATTTTTTGGGGGATTTGATTCTAGAACCCACAGAACGTACCCTAACACGTATAGGAAATCTCTTAAGTTGGCCATAAAATATGATTTAGCCACATATTATTTATGGCCGGGCAACCAGATTCAATCTAATTCAGAAGAACGTGCAGCCATAACTGATTTTTAATATTCCATTCAGATTCAATCATGCTGGAACCCCGCCCCACCCCCTGGACATCATGCTCCACTACTAATCACAGACCACAATCCGATTTTGACTTAAAATTAGGGGCGTTGTCATAGCGGGCCACCTACAAGATTTAGAAATTAGAATATATATAGTATAAGTCCAGAAGAGGAGGGTATGAAGATTGGTTATTGTATAATATGGGTGAACGGTGTACGGCGGGGGTTCCTGCATGTGTCCCAATGCAAATTAGATACTTGGATTAACGGACAGACAGAGAAACGAACCAGTTCGTAGATCGTAGTGGGCTGCTGCTGCCTGTATCCAAGAATATCAGTGTCCCCGTGTCGCGAGTATCAATATCGTTGGGTGAGATGGGTTTTTGTGTGATCTCGAAAATGGAGCTGACCAGATTTATGGTACTGTCTATAAGGAGAGGTTCACAAAATAAGATATGCATATCAATAGATTAATAGATGCACTGATAGATACCGCTTAATTTGGCCAATAAATTGAACAAATTATATATATACAGTGATTCCAAGTTGCTATCAAGAACATGAATAAGAAACGGTAACACAGCGAGATACAGCCATTGGCCATTTATTAAAATTTTTAGAGATATATATTTTGAAGTTAATTTAGGAGTTTGAAAAAGAGATTTGCAGATTGAAATCTTTATAAATTTATAAAAAAAAACCAAATGTTAGCTTTCAAAAACTGAAGCAGATGGGGGGGGCTATTTAATTAAATTATTAAGTTTATAAATTAAACACCTTTTGATTTCGCAGAACAGTTATAATTGATAAAATCTAGCACAGCAGACCTTTACTTTTTATCAATGAAACATTTATATAGAAGTGTCTAATAGGAACAGCCTTAGTCTTAGTTACTAAGCAGAAAAGCAAAGCTTAAACTTCCGCAGATATTGGTCAAGGATATGAAAGCCTAGTTTGGGCTTTTCAAGAAAATCTGTAAACTAAAAGAATTTTCAGAAAACTTTCCTCTCACCTTAAGTTTGTTTTCATAGCCAGCCAGTCTCGTGAAATCTTAACTCAAGGTCCAATTTAATGACTCTTCGTCATGCTGGTCAATTTTAGGCCCTGATTTCAGTGTTTTCCTGATGGCAACAAGATTTTTACATAATAATATTTACATCATCGCCTATCATCCCGCAAAAAACCACCTCAAGGGCAAAGAATAAGAAGGAGAGAAACAGAATCGTTTCGATTCGTATAGAACTAAATGTTTTGGTTCCTAAAAAAAATCTCGTTTCTGTCTCCTTATAATTGCTAATTTATTTATTTATTTTATATTCTTCTTCTTCTTCTTTTTTCCAGCTCTTTCTTTATTGTTTTGGCTAAGCGTTGATGGGGGGGGAGGGCGAAAAAATAAACAGAGAGCTGGGCGTTTGGAAAGGAAACGAAAAAGTAGATGCTCTGTAAAGATGTTTAACTTGTGAATATAGAAAGTATATAGATAGATGGCTTAAGGAGTACTAACTATATACCAAAAATCACAAATTTTATAAAGTTTAAATTTATATAAATATGATTTTTTATAAATATTTTTCATAATTAATCAAAAATATTTCTTTACAAGCAGAAAAAAGGTTTCTTTCCAAAATTAGGAAAAAGGGAAAAATTTCACAACTTAAAGCCAAGATAATCTTTAAGCGCTCTTCTTTCTATATAATAAACTAAAACTATATAAAATTCAAAATACCCAGAAAAAATCTGGCATAATTCCGTATAAAAATCGGCAAAATTCAAAGCGGCCAGCGAAACGAGGGAACTGATGGGGGCCGCGTAACAAGTTGTTCGATCTGTTAATTTGCCAAAGAAATCACAGGCAGACACGGGCGAAAGATCGCAATAAAAATTAGAGACAAAAAGTATAAAAAATACAAATAATGAAACACTTTCTTTTCTTTTCTTTCGAATTTTGTGTATAGCATATGCAAATGGCAAAGATTTAGCCGAAAAATCACGTTAATCGAATGGTAATTAATGCAGGCAGCTGCATGTCAGGCAGATAGGCAGGCAGGCAGGCAGGCTTTTACCTGGAATTAAGGTGATGACAATTAATTGAGTGACGAGATGAGTCAGTTAAAGAGAGATAGAGACAGAGATATAGAAAGATATAGCCCCACACCCCTAATGCGGGCGGGCGGTTAACTCGTTTAAAAGGTCCCACTAAGTGAGACATCAAGATCGGACAAAACTTTTTGGGCGTGTGCGCAAGTATGCATAACAAATGCGATTTCAAAAATCAAAAAAAAAAAAAAGAAAAATATCAAAGACAGACATCAACTTATAGTTTCCAAGGCGAACTGACCAACTAACTAACAGCCATCACACACTTCTGACAACTTGCTGAAATGGCCAAAAAAAAAAGAAAAAAACGTTTTCATTAGGCCAAGAAGATCAGCCAGCCAACCAACCAGAAGAAGAATCTTTTTTTCGATTCATTCAAAGAGATGACTTCGAATGAAAAATGAATGCCGTGCGGCATTCGTTTAAGTTATTAAGCATAAAACTTAAATTAGAGGCACCATTAGCGATTATCATTAGAGCTGCGTGTCCAGTCCGGTTTCATTTCAATCTTCTTATCTCTTCGATGGGAACACACACACACACTTTGATTGACAGCCATAAACTCGCCACTTTTCCTTAATCAAAATTTGAGTTTTCTGTTTGGTGTTTTTTTTGAACGAGAACTGGAAATCTAAAAACAGCTTAAACTCCCTGCCATAAATATTTAATAAAAATTCAAAAGCATTAATTTACTAACTTAAATTTCTGGAAATGCAAAACGATAAACGAATAAAAATAGATTGCATAAACAAAACAAGAAAGTGGATCAAAAAAACAGTAACAAAAATGTTTAAAAATATAAAAAAAAATGTTTTTAAAAACATAACTTTTCCACTTCATAAATACATTTCGGCGCACCTTGAAATTATGTTTATAGGCCATTATGTTTCTAAAAACATTTTGTTAAGCCAGCTTTTTAAAGTCATATATCAGGATTTGTACTAAAACTAAAAAATCTTTAAAAATTGACTAAAAAAAAGAGAAGAAATAACCGTTAATTAATCAAGAACTAGTTCGTTAAATTCGGATATAAAAGTTGGTTTTAATGGGCCTTAACTATTGGAATATGAATAATTAACATAAAAAGAATCAAATTCAAGGCTTCAAAATGCCTTTGCAAAGTGGAATTTTGAAAATTCTACAAAAATGTACAAGTAAATTTGAAGATTTTCGTAACAAACAGTGATCAAGATTAAACAATATCTTTATAAATAGAGCCATTAGTGTAAGCAATAGCTGCTATGCAAATGAGGGAAATACAAAAAGGTTTGAAAAGCTACCGAAAGCGAAAACCTTTGGCAGCCATCCGATGACCCTGGCAATTAAATGGTATTCTTTGAGCCGAAGATTTGAAGATGTGAAGATCTCCCAAGACCAAGACAGACACTGATCTAGCCAGAAGAATCGCATTTTGATAAATTTTGATAAGAGACCAAAGAAATAGAAGTAGAAAACGGAACGACTAATTAAGCGAAGGCTGAACGTTTTCAGACCTGATGTGCATTAGCATATGAAACCGTATGAGAATGGGGCATCATCTTATCACTAGAGAAGAATCACCATGTCTACGCTATGAAGAATCAGATTGAAGATTGAAGATTTCCTTTGCTGGTTCCATTCAGCAGTACTTTCGGAACTTTTTGGTCTGCAAAACTGGTCATCAGAAAGAAAAAAAAAATCGTTAATCGTGAATCGACGCATATTTTATATACTATATACTATATATATATTTTTTTTTTTAGATATATTCCATGCTTTATAAAAAATTAACGCAGATTTAAATTTACGCACATGCATGGAGACTAAAATATATATATAAATATATATATACAGTGAGAATCATCATTAAACGTGTATGCTAATTTGATGATGGCGGTTTTCTAATTTTGTTGCCCCGAAAACCAGATTTCTATGCTGCGATCTCTTCGATCTGCGATCAGTCTCCGTCAGCAACTGCTAAACCTACAAAAAATAACCTAACCATGGATTGTCCCAGAAGGCCCTAAAATTTGTTACAACTTTTTTCGCTAGGCCCTAATCTATCCACAGAATGGATGATTATCCCCCCTTGTTTTGGGCTAATCCCCTCCCTCAAATATATATATATTCGATTTTTTTTTTTGTTGCCCATTTTTAACGTTGACAAACTTTGGCTTTTTTCGGATTCTAAGTGACAGAGCGACGCCGGCAGCGGCGCAGTTCGTTGTCCGGTTCCTATTTCTGCCGACTTCGCTGCCAGCGTCGCAGATAATACCATATATAAGGAAACAAGAAGTCGCATCGTTTGTATTTATTTGCTAGAATCTGTGAGCATCGGAACTAACCGAGCCCCGCCACTAATATCATCTAAGGAAATATATTTTTCAAAAATATATAGTCCTCGTTTCGAATTTTTTTTCCCCAAACCACAAAAAAACCTCAAAAATACACATAAAAATGAAGAGTTTTGTAAGTGCCTGGAAAAGAAAAAGAAAACATTTTTTTTTGTTTGGTGTCCTCAAAAAACTAAAAAAAAAAAGAAGAAGAAGAAGAAGAAAGGATCAAGTGAAAGTGCGCGTTAAGGGCATGTCCTTAGAAAAAGTGAAAATGACTTTAAAGTTATTTCGGAATTTAACGGAATTTTACGGAATTTTTAACTTTTATTTAAAAGGATCTAAAAAGGCTTCATGAAAACTTTACTTTAAAACTAAAAATCGAAACAATAAAATAAACTAAACTAAAGGAAGTTTTAATGGCTTCTTAACTTCGGAAATCACTTAAAAACATATAAAACGCGAAAACGAACGAACTAATGACCTACTCTTTAAGGAAAAGTCTTAAACTAAATCGGTTTCGGATCACCTTGAGCCACCGCACAGCTCATCAACGTCAAAAACCGACGAATGACAAATATCGAAACGGTTGGAACCCATTATGATTAGTGCCTCGGCCCGAAACCAAATCAAATAAATCACGGGGCAAATATAGATAAAACAATCACAAAAAAAAAGAAAAAAAAAAAAAATAAATAATAAAAAAAACAGCGATAGACTTGCGAGACAAAGCGACGCTGTGCGGTCAGAAACGCCAGCGAAACGCGCGCGACTTTGATTAATTGCCCGCTAATGCGAGATGCAAAAAACGAATCCGCAAAGAAACAACGAAATTAAAGCGTTTAATAACGCCTGTGATCTACAGAATAAACTTATTAAGAATATCTTGTGGATGGTTTTCTAACCAGAACTTCTCCTTTTTCCAGCTGATCCTTTTGGGTTTCGCTGCTTTGGCTGCTGCCGATGTCAAGCATCTGACAGATCGCAATCTGGACCTCTTCAAGTACAATCCCAGTGACATTTACACCCTGCCCGAGGACATTGATGATGAGAAGCCGGCGGTTCATTTCAGCGGCGATGTGATGAAGGCCAAGACCGAGACTCTGCAGAACTACAACTCTGGCAAGAAATTCAAGCTGGAGTGAGTATTATATAACTAGTATATATAGTCAAGATAATGTTCGGAAAACTAAAAACTAAAGAAGATTTCTTAACCTAAAACTAAGTAACTAACTTTGAATATCCTTATTTTCTAGACTGAAGACCCAGAACGGCATCCAAGTTAGCAGCGTGGGCAAGCTGAAGGACGACAAGACCTTTGTGGTCAGCGGCTCTTACTCGTTCACTGGCGCCGATGGCAAGCGGTACAAGACCCGTTACACCGCCGATGAGTTCGGTTACCATCCAATCACCGAGCTGGATCTCGATATTCCTGAGTGAGTATTTACATTTTATAAATATTTAAAAAAAAACCCTTTTATTATGTATTTTTTATTACTATTACTATAGGCCCCAGCCTTTGGCCTCTGCCGGACAGCGCCAGACCGTGGACCCCAGCAGCCTGTTGGGCAACAAGAACCGCTTCCAGTTCCTGCAGCAGACCCTTGACTCCGATCAGGGACCTCTGCGCGGCAGCGGACAGAGTGGCGATGATTATAGCTACACGTCTCCCTACAATGGCAATGGCTATGATTACCAGCCACCTCAGGTACAATTGTCGACGCCATCCCGTCTGTATCTGCCAACGGCATAAGGTGGATGTATATGGTTTCCCCACCTACCTATCCCTACACCTCCCCCGTTTCCCGATCCCCGACTTATCCCCAGCTGCAAAGTATTTAGTTTATTTTTTTTTGTTTAAGTGCAACTCCAACAGGCAAATGAAGAGTTAACAAGAAAGAAAACAAAAAAGAAAAGAAAAGAAAATGAAACAAAAGGCAAATCACAGAGCTAGCGAAATTTTTTTTTATCATTTTTTAGTGTTATACACGGAGCACAATTTTATATGATATTATACCTATATACAAAACTCTGATATATGTTATATATCTACACCAAACACACCCACAAACACACACAAAGAAAACACACACACGCACACAAATCCCGACAAAAGACACAAAACGAATCTATGTATATACACTGAGTGATATTAGTAGTAAATAAAATGGCTAAACTAACGATCAATATCTTGATTGGTTTCAATTTGGATTTATTAAAGAGAGACTTTAAGTGTTGTTTAAGCTTCTCTTGAGATCTTAACTTAAATAATTGGGAAATAAAACAAAGACTTTCACTTCCTATTTTGGCTTCGGGTTTTGCTTTAATTTAGTTTTCTTAAATTCATTCATATTTACTAGCATTTTTGTGCAAAGTTCTAATCTAATTACTTTAAGTTTGACATTTTGTATACTATTTGTATTTAAAGAAAATATAAAATATTTTAACAGAGCTCTGAATATGATTTTCAACATGGTTTTAAGCAGTGCGATGATTATTGCGCGACGAGCCTAAAAGCAGGCAACAAAATGAAGAAGCCATGTGTGTTTTATTTTCTAATAAAATCAATTTAATATTAATATACTTATAACAATAGCTCTTAAATTCTTAAAATAAAACAACAAATATATCTGCTTAATATATTTTAAATATCATGATGTATTGAGCTTTTAAAAAAATCTGATTAATAAGAACATGAAATCTAGCCATCACTCATACGGCATGTTGTATATACATTTCTTCATCTGTTTAACTTGCTAATCAGAAACTAGACAGGCAGCTGTACTCAACCCTATTCCTTCCCCATTAAGTAGTCAATTGGATAATTGTATAATTTAACATTATATTTCTTTTTAGCACTTAAGATTTAATACAAATTATTTTACGTGGTTACCTAATATAAACTAAAAGCGGTTAGAACTTGTGCAAAATTCAAAGACAAAGAATAGCTATTTTTGGAAAAACAACAGACATAGAGCGACTCGATAAGTGGTGACCAACGGAGGCTAGCCGGGTGATAAGCCGATTCGCTGGAGTAGCAACAGATGGTACGACGAGCACCTGAGATACACCCGCTGATCCATGACCCCGGCGATTGGCAGATGCGTCACAGATATGACACTCCTCCATTTGAGATTTCTTGGGCTATAAAAGCGGCCCCTTGGCCATCGACAAGGCAACAGTCTTTAGGCATTGGATCCACTAAGTGCATCCGATCCGGAGCAGGTTGAGTAGTTGAGAGTTTCAAGACGGAAGGAGTCACCCTAAGCATGAAGGTTGCTATCGCATTTCTGGCCTGTGTGGGTCTGGTTGCGGCCATTGGCTTCCACCAGACACCCAAACTGAAGATCGCCGACAAAGCCTTCTTGGAGAAGCAGAAGTTCCTCTTCGAGATGGTCTACCGTGTGGAGGATCCATTGGCTTTCGAGGAGTACATCAAGATTGGCGAGAAGTTCTACTTCGAGAAGGAGCACTACACGGTAAGTAGTGGTACATCCCTAAGAATATGGTGTTTATATCATCTCCTAATCCTCTGCAGCACTTTGACTTGTACATGGAGAAATTCTACGACGCCTACATGGCACATGCCCTTCTGCCCAAGGGTGAGTTCTTCGGAGCATTGGTGAAATACCATGCCAAGCAGGCACGTGGACTCTTCAACTTCTTCTACTACGCCAAGGATTGGGAGACCTTCATGACCAACGTGGCCTGGGCACGCATGCACGTCAACGAGGGCATGTTCGTCTATGCTCTGACTTTGGCCGTGATCCATCGCGATGATTTCCACGGTCTAATGCTGCCCGCCATCCATGAGATCTTCCCGCAGTTCTTCTTCAACAGCAAATTCGTATTCGAGGCCGAGAAGTTCGATTACGAGATGTGGATGAAGACCAGCATGTACGAAAAGGAGTACCTGGATGTGTACCACCACAAGACCCCAGCTCATGGATACGAACATGGCTATGGAAACATGTACCAGTCCAGCGACTACATGTACATGAAGGACTTCAAGATGTGGCAGTGGTGGAAACTGATGGGTCTGGGCGAGCACTGGTACAGCGAGGACAAGTACATTCTCCGTGAGAACATCTACCAATTCAACCACGAAAGCAAGTGGCTCACCATGATGAAGGACGTCAAGAAATTCTACATGCCAGTGGACTACAGCCGCGATCTCTATCTCTACAACGAAGAGTCCAAGATGTCCTACTTTACCGAGGATTTGGGATGGAACAGCTACTGGTACTACCTGAACATGGATTACTCGTTCTTCTTGGACGGCAAGACCTTCGGCTTGAGCAATGATCGTCGTGGCGAATGGTGGTTGTACAATGTCCACCAACTGCTCAGCAGGTACCACATGGAGCGTCTGTCTCACGGACTCGGCGAGATCCCCGAATTCTCTTGGTATCACCAGATCGAGATGGGCTATGATCCTCAGATGATCTACTACAACGGCGTTGGCTTCAGCTACCGCAAGAACTACTACGAGATGGAGACATACGGCAACTTCGAGATGCTGGACAAGATCACCGGCTTCCAGAAGCGTATCTACAACATCATCGAGTTGGGCTACTACCAGACTGCCGATGGCCATATGATTGATCTGCGCAAACCGGAATCCATTGAATTCATTGGCAACATGATGCAGGGCAATATCGATACCATGGACAACATGTTCTTCCAGTTCTGGTACATGCTGGCCCATATGTACTTCGCTGACGCCGATTTCCACCAGATGGAGGTTTATCCCAATGTGATGCTCAACTTCGAGACCATGATGCGTGATCCTATGTTCTACATGTTCTACAAGTCGATCGCCCAGGTCTACTTCCAGTTCATGCACCACCTGCCCAAGTACACCAAGGAGCAATTGCTGATGCCGGGTGTGACCCTGAAACATGTAGAGGTCAGCGAGTTGACCACCTACTTCGATCTGGTTGACTTCGATGTGACCAACATGCTCAACGACAAGATGGTCTTCCACGATGGTCAGTTCGTGTGGGACAAGTCCTTGTACGCCCGCCAGATGAGGCTGAACCACAAGCCCTTCAGCTACACCTACACCATTGATTCGGTCAAGGATGAGAGGGTTGTGATCCGTGCCTTCCTGGGACCCAAATTCGATGAGTTCGGCAGGACAATTTCGTTGACCGATAACCGCATGAACTTCATGGAGATCGATGAGTTCTCCTACGAACTGAAGGCCGGCAGCAACATGATCCTCCGCAAATCCAACGACTTCTACTGGACCGTCAAGGATCGTACCACCTACACCGAGCTTTACTACTACACCATGATGGCCTTTGATGGCAAGTACAACTTCCCCATGGACATCTCCGAGCCTCACTGCGGATTCCCCGATCGCCTTGTCTTGCCCATGGGCTGGAAGAAGGGTATGCCCATGCAGATGTTCTTCATGGTTGTCCCATACATGGCCCCCAAGCACGAGCAGTTCTCTACCTTCGATTACACCTACTCCTGTGGCATTGGATCTGGCGCCCGTTTCGTTGACAGCATGCCATTCGGTTATCCCTTCGATCGCGAGATCGATGAGTACGAATTCTTCGTGCCCAACATGTACTTCAAGGATGTGATGATCTACCATGCCGACACCATGGAGAAGTACTACACATACAAGGGTTACTCTCAATACGGTCACTTCGATTACTCCTTCTTCAGCGACTACTACACCAAGTACTTCATGTTGTAGATTGCAGCTTGAATTCATCTTTCCCATTTCTATTTTGACCACATGATGAACCTCTTTGGGCGGATTTGCTCAGGATCATAGTTTGTAAGCAGAGCAAAAAGTGAAATAAACTTTCGAAAATCCAAAGGTTTTAAGGCTACTATAAAGAAGGATATTACTGATGAGTTTAGTCCAAAGAAAAGGCTTTGACTTTGGCAAACTGCTAAGCCACTGATTTATATTTCATTTACTTAACTTGTAATCATGGCATAGCACCAATCTCAGCCTGGAAGTATGCAGAATCCGACTTATAACGAATCTCAACTGGCTGCCAGCAGCGATTCGATTCGCTCCCTGGCCTCCACAAAGGCAGCCATCACCTCGTCCAAGGTAGTGGCCCTGGATGTATCTGGATGTAAACTTGATTTGGGATCCTCATCATCGCTGTCGCTATCGTCGCTGTCGCCTCCGAGTTCCAAATGAAATTGAATATGACTGGAGGTGTCGATATGCCGCTGTTGGAGCTTCTGTATCCGAAGTACCAGAGATCCCGTTGCAGTCATAGCCCTTTCCACTTTCAAATCCATACGATTATGCAGTTCGGATTGCCTGTGCACATCGAAATATGACTCAAAGTCGAAGAGCTGACGACCGCCAATGAAATATCGATTAAGAGCATCCAGCCAGTTGCCAAGTGGTCGGATGCACTGCAATCGAATAGATTCCGTGGGCAGGGTGGATGTCAGCGAGATGGCATAGTAAGCATAACCTTCGCAACGTTCCCTTTGCCAACTGTCTATGCTAATCACCTCGAAATAAAGATGCAGAAGATCGGCCGGCTGATGTTGCTCCTCGCAGAGGATGGTCACCTGCCAGCAGTGACCCAAACGGGCGATCCTAAAGTCGCCGGCATTCCAGCATGTGGCAGTGGCACCCTGCATGGGATCCTCATCTACGGAAGACTCATAAATGGTATTCTCTGGAGGTTTCAAATAGTATCTAACATGGATGTTGGGATTCTCAAAGTATTGGGCTTCATGAAGTTCCAGCAGGAGTGAAACCCTCTTCGTTCTTTTCGGTGGCATTTTAAATTGGAGAAGACATCGTCTTTCGGTGGCTGCTGCTCGCCGTTTATGATAAAAATCGATGATCTCCAAAGCGGAGGCTTCTTCAGGGAGATCCTCTTGGGAATCCACGTCCTCTTTCTCCTCCTCATCAGCCTCCAGTAAACTGCCTTCTTTGTAGACCTCCAGAGGCGTGGCATTCTCGAATCCAAAGGCATACAGCTGACGACAATCATTATCACGCTCGATCTGGATCATATAGTCCAGATCCTGGGCACTGCTACTGAAATCTGGATAAACATATAGTAGACCCTGTTCAGGATCATATCGTATGCTGACTAACAGAGTATCCTCCTGTAGATCAGCATATATGTACATCAATTGGTAACCCTTTTTATGGAATTCACTTGCTTCCACTGGTAAAACATCCTCGGAATCCCTATCTACCACAGTGTGGATCAAGCAAGTTCTGGCCGCAAAGTTGGGATCATCGAGTACCGAAACATCTGACATATTGGCTGAGGATAGTCCATTGGTTTCCCAAGTAGTTAACGCCGTACTCTTTCTCATCCTGCGTTTGGACTTTCGCATTCTACGACGAACTCTAATCGGTTCCGGATCTTCATCCTGGTCATTCGCCTGATTCTCCAGTTTCCTGAGATATTGCTGCTGCAGCTCCAGAGTCTCCAGAGCCCATATGTGATAGCGTCGCTGGATTTTCGGGGCACAACTTCCGGGATCTGGTATGTAACGATCTAATTCCGAATGACTGAAATATTTTTGCTGCCAGGTTATCCGTATAGTGGCAATGGCACCATTACAAAGTTCCTTATTCCTTTCGTAGAAGACGTCACCAGCGGGACGATTGTTTTCACTTAAGATGCTCCACGAAGGATTGCTCTGGGACTCCACATCCTCTACCTCCTTCACTCCATCTTCCTCTTTGCCCTGAGATATGGGACTCCTTCGTTGCCTCACCATATTCCCGGCATTTCCGCTATAGCCAGTGCCCACACTATAATAGCTACAGTAGTAGCCCAATCGATGCTTTCCACCATAGGAATCATCGGACTGGGGAATATGGATTAGGCAATCCTGCCAGACTTCTTCCTCAGATCCAGGATAATGCTCACCATGTCCATTGGCCGATTGAGGTCCCACATATTCGAATCTGGGCACTGGCAGCCATTCGCTTATGTGTCGCAGTTTCAGTTCCAGCTGCAAGTCAGCGATGTTTCCACTCAGACGATAGACTCCTGTGCGCTTAATGTCCGTTCCTTTTCGCATGTTTTCTTAATGATTTCTTTTCTAAAAGCAACTCTTATTTAAATCTTTAAATCTGAATAATCTTACAACGCCTATTTGTTTTGCTCGCATTTCGTTTTGTTTTTAATTTTCAAAGAACCGTTGTCTAGGCAACCATTCGATAAAATACCAAATACTATCGTTGTCTGGAGTGAAGCAGAAGAAGAATAGCTTGAAAATAGCTAAGACCAGCCCTGGTAAATACCAACTCCGATTGGCAGGGCATATAAGCCTATCGATTGTAGATAACAACGAGCTTTAGCGCTGTGTTTGTGTTATCGTCAGTTGCTCTTTGCACTCCACATTTCTCGTTTCGATTTGGCCGCCAGTTGTGTTTTTGATTGCTCTGCGTGCTGTTCGCTCCTCCAAATCTCCGTTACTCCGATTTTACGATTCTTCGCGCCTACTCTAACACCCATTCATCCGTTTGTTCGCTTGTTTGTTTTTTTCGCTGCACTTTTTGCGCGCGCGCAACTGCCGATAAACGAAGAAAAAAGCAGAAGAAAATCATTAATAAACTGTAAAAGTGCAATATTAATAGACGATCTTGTGAATGTCTCTAAATTGAAACATTTACTTTCGTTTACTATTTTTTTTTTAATTTTGTTCTGTTAAGTGTTCGTAAAGCATTTTTGCAGTCAACGCAAAAAGAAACTTTTAAGCAAAATGCAGCAGAAAGTTGAAGAGGTTAGTAAATGTTTATGGATAAATAATACTATGCAAAGTGTTTTAGTATCCTTGTTTATAAGTTTTCATAATATTCAGTTTACAATTATTACAATATTGTATTGCAATAATGTTCCGTTAGTGTGTCCCCACAGCGTTTGTTTTTGCCCAAAGGAGATAAAGTTCTAATAACTGTAAATCTTGCGGTAAACGAAGGAGAGAAAAGAGAAGGCAATAAGGCTTTATTTTTATATTTATAACTTTTTACAAATAATATGCATACTTTTATGGATCTAATATTGAAAATTATGTTAAATAGTTTTATGAAACTATAATAACTAATCATCAAAATGATTCACGTGCAGATTAAGAGAATTATTAATCATTTTTATTTCGAAAAGTTGAAATCCATTTAATCTGCACATTTCTATTTTGTTTTATGTTGTTTTCTTCTTATTTTTGTGTAATATTCTAGTTTGTTGCTGCGTTTTGGTCCATGTTGTTGCTTTTTCTCCTCGTTCTGCTCTTCCACCTTCTCTTTTGCGTTCCTCCCTTTTCCTGTATTTCATTGAACTTAGTACGCCCCCGAATGCTGCGCTGCCTCAGCTGGCGTCGCTGCTAGCTTCGCAGTCGCTGTTCTGCCGTGACGTTCCATTGACTGATTTTCCCGACTTTCCGCAGAAAAATAAAAACAACCAAAACAACAAAAGCCAACAGCAACAACAATGCTTTGGCCACAATTGTAAAATGGTTTTGTTTGGTTTTTCATTTACATGTTGTTGTTCTTGTTGCTGTTTTTTTTTTCGGTTTTTTCTTCTTCTTCTGTTGTCCACAGGTGTGCAAGTGTGTGTGCCACCTATTGTTGTTGCTTCTTTATTTGCACAGTTGGCAACGCTTTTTTTTTGTGTTTAATATATATTTTGGGATCTTTTTCTTGGGGCCCAAAACCAAAGTCATGGTAAGAGCTGTGAAATTTGTGATCGCCATTGTTTGGACCCCAAATTCTCGTAGTACTCCTCCTCTTTTTGTCTCTCTCTTTGGCACCCTCATTGTGGCAAAGATGAACACATCAAGATCATGGCGGAATAAAGGTCTTAAGACCAGAAGTGTGCCACAAATGTCATGTTCGATAAACAATCTGTTCCAGAAATCAGCCAAATCATGGCATAAAAAATTGAAGATTTATCAGCTAAGATTTAGTGATAAAACAAAACTGAAAAAGAAAGAATTGCCATTATTCTGTACTTAAAAATCTCTAAAATGAAATTGACTAAGCTATAAAGTATACGTAAAGTATAAACTTAAGTATAGCAGTTCATCGTTTTTAACCCATTTAAGAAACAGACTGCCAGAAGGTATAAAAAGATAATTAATAATATTAAGAAGCGCCCATAACAGCTGTTTTAACAGCTTACTCAACAGCCCAAAGAACCGATGTTTCGTTTTGGAAAAAAAAAAACCTAAATGCGATGAAACACGGAACCAAAAAGCCAGAAAAAATATGCCTTTTTGGCCTGGCCAATGCCAGTTGCAAGTAAAAGTCGAAAAACCTGTGTAGCCACAAGACAAGACACCGCCGGGGGAAAGAAGGGGTTGGGGGGACATTGAACATCGAGCGAGATGACTGTCCATGACCCAAATAAAATGCCTCGAGAATTGCAATTGGACATGTCGACAAATGATCGAGGGGGCGATGCAGGAACGGCGGCCATTAAAGTGGTATAAACGGGGGGCGGGGGGAGAAGAGGGAACCATGGTCAAGTGATTGAGACTGGCTGATTGGCCATGGCAGCGGATTGAGCTCGAGGATCTCCATCAGCCCGATGCGATTCAGGCCAAGCTGAAGATCTGCACTCGATCACCGGTTAGTTTGAGAGAAGCGTTAAGAAAAAAAAAATGAGTTAAGAGCAGAAGTCTCAATCCGAGAAATGCAGACTCCCATTCCTGATTCAAGTGGATACACTCAGGAAAATTGTGTTTACTTTTAGGTTTTAGTAAAACCAAGGAAATCTGAACTTTTCATTCAAGTTGATCTTGATTTGTTTTCCCAAAAAAGTTGGTTAAGAAAGAGGACTTATTTGGCAGGGAAATTTGAAAATCATGTAATCAACCAAAACCAGCAAAGAGTTCATTCACTCCCTCATTAACAATGCCATTCCTCAATAAGTTTGACTTTGCGTTGCTTGCACATCATCTTCATGAGTTTTTTTCCAATTTCCTTGTAAAAGTTTTTCCCAATTTAACGGCCACCCAAAATAATACAAAAAAAAAAAAGGAGAAGAAAAACCCCGAAAACCGGTTAGAATTTGATGCATCTTTTCTGGTTGTTGCTGGTCTATTAAAATTTCGCTTTTTTTTTTGCCTAGTGCGGACGCAGACGGCGGCGGTAGTAAGATTTTCACGTCGATTTTACCCGTTTGCCAATTGAAAGTAAAAATGCCCCAAAACCGGTCAGTTAAATACGAAAAAAAAAACTAAAAATATCACCGTGAGATCCTGACACCAACTTTGATAAATGTCTAATGAATGTCTTTATGCAGCTTCGCAGTCAATGCAATGTTTGTACAAAATATGGAAATTACCCAAGCTTAAAAATCATAAAAATAATTATTTGTTTGGGCGGGGAAAATGGTAAAATGATGATGGGACTTGGACCTGGACTTGTTGAAAAACGCCCAAAATGGCTAGAAGAAAAGGTGGTTAAGATATATATATTTTCGTTTTTTTTGGGGGAAAACGTTAATCAAGGTGGACAAAAGCCAAAAGGCGTATCCAAAGAACCCCCCCCCAAAAAAAAAGTAGAAAATCCAAGAGACCAAAAAACCGATGTAATTACACATAAACGCAGATGGTCAGATGAAAGAGGGGTTAGCCGAAAGTAACCTTTTTTCTTTTTTTTTTTTTTTTTTTGGTTTCTCAATTTTTTCAAAGGTGGGAGATGAGAGATGGGAGATGGCTCAAATGAAAAACGCAAACAGCAAACGCAAAGTACCCGAAAATAACTTGAAAATAAAACTTGAAACTTGTCGTGCGTCGATCGACGCCAAAGGGGCGGAGGTGGAGGTCAATGTCTGGGTTCAACGACTCCTGACCTCTGGCAATATACAAAAAAAAAAACAAAAACAAACAAACAGAGAAAACCCCCAAAAACAACAGTTATTATTATTGTTATTGAAGCACTCAAAACCGAAAAAGATGTTAGGTATTTCTCTCTCAAAAAAACTAGAGCAGTTGAAGGTAGCCAAAGATATGTATAAGATACATAAAGATGGTATGGAAAACTGAAGAAAAGTAAATGGTTTTATGGTGGTGAGTTGCTGGGAATCCTCCACACTTGGATTAGTTAATTATCTTACTAATTATGGGTGGCTAAGCGAAACTAGTTCATATGCTAATTATGCAAGTGGAGCTTAACCAAGTTAAGTGTGTAGAATATTTTGATTTGTTTTAGATTAGTTTCAGGTCTATGTCCAGTTCTATTCTTATAGCTTACCAAACTCAGATTTGACTTTGATTAAACGAAATCTAAAATCTAGAAAAAATCAAAACATAACTAATGGGTTCTTAGACTCGCATAAAAGTCTGATCACAGAAGATCAATCATTTTAGCCCATCGAAAAACCTATTAGAATTGTGATTAATTAGCAAAGCAGACACCCTAACTAAATCCATCATTTTGCAAAGAGTTTACCTTTCCTAAAATGAAGATTTGAAAAATTATTTTCAGACTGCATTTGAATGATAAAACCTAAATCAGATTACTTAACAAGATAAAACGCATAAATTTAAACGGTTTTCGTAAGCCTTCTGGGAACTCTCAACTTTTTCTGGGAACTTTCAATTGCATCTGAAAGGGAGGTACCCCTCCCCGAAATCATTTTGAAATGATTTCCAGTGCAACGGTGCTATAATCTATTTTCCCTATGACCACAAAACAATGGCAAATAAAACAAATATTATGCATCATAAATTTCACTGACAGCCAACGAAACAGAAAACCGGTTGAGGTTTTTCCTCAGTTCTGGCAATGAACTCAAAAGCCAAAGACCCAGACCCAGACCCAGACGCAGACTCTCTCATCCACACAAACAAGCAGTGTTTTTGGAATTGAAATCATAATAATAATGGTGAGGTGTAAAAGCGATTACGAAATCGATTTTAGCTCTACATATATCCGCGATATATATACTTGAATCTGAATAATAATAGTAATAAGGCATAAAGACATAAAACATTTCGTTGGCCAGATTAGAAATTCAAATGAGCCAAGGCTTAGGGTTTTTTTTTTGGTTTTTTGTTTCTTATGAAAAGTGAATGTGAATGCGATGACCGTTAGATCTGTGGCAAGCATTTAACTGCCCCACAACAATGCAATATTTTCCTTTATATACACATCTCTCTCTCTCTCTCCCTCTCTCCTTGGCTCTGTTTTCGAAAGTGATTTGAACTATATTTTATGCGGCAATCCGAAGCGAAACAAAAACCTAAAACCATATAATACCAATCTATATATATATAGGTATAGATATATACTATATATACCGATGCAGTCGCCGAGTTTCTTAATTGATCGATCGCAGCTCGTTTACCGTTGGCCGGCTGATATAATTGCCGGCCGCAAGTCGATTTTATAACTCCAACTCCAACTCGAACTCGAACCCGAGCCACAAATCAATTTGCCATAAACCATTAACTAAAAACTAAAAACTAAAACCATAACCCAAAAAAACCGTGTCAATCAAAGTGAAAGAAGTCATAGCTAGTCATCGGGCTAGCCAATGATTATCTCACAGATACAGATTTTACCGATTGCAGCGAACATAACACATAATTGCTAATAAATTGTTTGCAATTAGTAAATCAATTGATTGCCGGATGGTTTTACCCCGATATCGAATTGATTCCTTGTCATTGGATGTAATTTTGGCGCGACCCACTGATCCACGATCGCTGATTAGGCCTGGGGTTAGTAGTCGTAGTCGTAGTTAGAGGTTCCCCCGAAAACTAAATTGATTTTTCGT